AAGTATTCATATTCTTAGGTTTTTTCGGTAAAGTAAGTATATATACGGGGTAGTATCTCTTGGAATCTCTCATTTACTTGATACAGCTATCGTGCTGTGACGGTTCCACCTGAAGACGGAAGCTTGTGTTGCCTCCGAAACGTCGTGATTTTTATTTTATTTTACTTTTTTTAATTTTAATTTTTTACCTACGTGACTTTACCGAAAAAACCTAAGAATATTCCACACGAAACTTTCCCCACGGACCCAAACTGCCCCGTCAGTTCCTGTTGCAGCGGTGGAACGCAGCACGAGTTCCACACGAGACCAGGGCTCGCCACACATCGATCCTCGCTGCCGCCGGAAACACGAGGCACAACGTTCCCGATCAAACCGGGACAGGTGGCAACCGCAGTTGGTGCGGGTGGGTCAGTGGGTGAGTGAGTGGCTCGCCAAATGAATTAGTTAATTAATTGGTGGGCTAGTGAGCGGGTCGGTGAATTATTGAGCGACTTGGCAAAGCGAGCGAGGTGAGTGGATGAGTGTATAAGTCGAAGGGTTGCCACCTTTCCCACAGACCAATCCGGGACACATTCATAAGTCACCACTAAGTCTATGGCAATCGGTATAATTCACAAATCCTGCCACTCCCGGACTATCCGGGTCAAATCGGGACAGGTAGCAACCCCACCTCCACGCCGTTCGCTTGCCCGTGTTGTGCCCATGTCCTTGATGCCGGCTGGAAGCGTCCGGGAGGCTGCTCCCGAGTTGAGTTGCCACCCAGCCTCGTCCACCGTCTCCGCATTACGGGACAAGAGGATGTCGCGGTGCAAGAATAAAAAATTAACCCGTAAAAACAAAGTTTTTCACTATAAATCCTTTATATGCGTGGCATCGGTTTTATTTTATTATTAATTTCTGTTTTTCTTGAGTAAGAGTTTCATTTTTATCACATTGGTATTTTAAATTAAATATGAATTTTTTTTCCTAAAAAGTGGAAAATTTTGGAAAAAAATTTTCACGAAAATAAATTGTCACGCACAACGAGTCTGTGTGCAAAATGTCAGCTCGATTGGATCACGGGAAGTGGGTTATAAAACGACCGAAAGATTTGCACGGTCGTAAGCGCGCAAGCAAGTGAACTTAATATAAAGGATTTAAAAAGTGCACTTACGTGAATCAGGAAAACCTCTTGCGCCCATGACTTTAAAAAGGGCATTTTTCCCCCCCTTTGTGACAATGACTACACCTGCATTTATTCATACTCGTGTGGTTCATGACGGAGTAAAGACTTTTTATTTATCATCTTGACGCTTGCGAACTACAACGGGGCAGCCGCGTCACAGCACCGCGGGGAGGGCGGGGGAGTGAAGGAGACTGTGAGAAGAGAGGGGGGAGAGGGGGGGCGAGAGAGTGAGCGAGAGAGTGAGCGAGAGAGAGAGAACGAGAGAGAGAGAGCGACATGGAGTAGGAAGAGAGGGGGTACAGAGAGAGGGGGGGCAGAGAGGGGGGTAGAGAGAGAAGGAAGGGGTAAGGAAAGCAGAGCAAAAATTAGTTTGTTAAATCTTTCATTTAAAAATTGGGGGGGGGGGTTACGTAAAGCAAAGCATTAAAAAACCGAAATGATGAACGAAGCAAAGTGCCGAGACTGTGAGAAGAGAGAGGGGGGCGGGAGAGTGAAGAGAGAGGGGGGCGGGAGAGTGAAGAGAGAGGGGGGGGGGGGTACATAAAGCAAAGATTAAAAAAAAATACGAAATGATGAAGGAAGCAAAGTGCCGACTAGACCGAGCATCTTCTCGTTTCCACTGATCGTAAAATAAAAAAGAGAGGGGGGGCGGGAAAGGGAAGAGAGAGAGGGGGGGGAGTAAGTCACGTGACGGCCTCTGTTCTCACAGTGGGGGGGGGGGGGGGCACACAGACGCCACGTGACTTGCTGGAGGCACGAGCTGATGGAGCGACAGAGCCACGCGGAGGGGTTCGGAGTGTCGTCATCTGCACGATGGGCCACGGCGATCACGCTCGGGTGACGCAACGGATGATCGATTTACATTTCCAACACAAAAGCAATTCGGTAACGGAACCGATAATTATCCGTGCAACAATCGATTGCGTCATCGATCGGACAGCGATATGGAATCGACCGCGGGCCAGTGACCGGTTGTCGAGAAGCGATCGGAGTTGCGGTGCGCCGGATGGGGGCAGTGCACTCTGAACGACGGCGTCACCGTGGGAGATCCCCCTCGACGCGCTCGCAGCCCCCCCTCCACCCCCTCGTCTCGCGACCCCCCCCCCCTCGCCACCCCCTCGTCTCGCGACCCCCCCCCCCCCCGTCGCCACCACACCACCCGCGTGTCACGCGGAGCTGCGGTGAATTGAAAGTCCGTGTGGACATTTTACGCAGTTTGGGGAGGGGGGGTGGGGTGCAGAGTCGCTCACGGCTGCTGTGCGAGCACATGCTGGTGCCTGTGATGTCACTACCACTACCATCGTCGTCATCATCATTATCATCGTCGTCATCATCATCGTCACCACCATCGTCGTCACTGTCATCATCGTCATCATCATTATCGTCATCATCGTCGTCATCATCGTCGTCATCGTCGTCGTCATCATCGTCACCACCATCGTGGTCACTGTCATCATCGTCATCATCATCATCATCGTCATCATCGTCATCATCGTCGTCGTCATCACTGTCATCGTCGTCATCATCATCGTCATCATCATCGTCGTCGTTATCATCGTCATCATCATCATCATCGTCATCACCGTCGTCATCGTCGTCATCATCGTCATCATCGTCATCATCATCATCATCGTCACCATCGTCATCATCGTCATCATCATCATCGTCATCACCGTCGTCATCGTCGTCATCGTCGTCGGTCCGCGTGATCGTTGATCCAGAACTCGCGAATTCGTTCGCTCATCCGGCGGCGGTCACTCGCCTCCGTGTCACTCACCTCCACCGTGGCGACTGTGATCAACTATACACACTGTGCATGTTCACACAATACACTCACACACTCAACCACCCACCCACACACGCGCTCACTAACCCACTCACTCTTCCACTCACCCACCCACTCACCCACTCACCCATTCACCCACCCACTCACCCAGCCACTCACCCACCAACTCACCCACTCACCCACCCACCCACTCCACCATCCATTCACCCACCCACTCACCCGCCCACACACCCACCCATTCACTCACCCACTCACTCACCCACTCACTTACCCACTTACTCACTCACCCATTTACTCACCCACTCACCCACCCACCCACCCACTCACCCGCCCACATACCCACCCACTCACTCACCCATCCACGCCACCACCTATTCACCCACCCATTCACTCACCCACTCACTCACCCACTCACTCACCCACTCACCCATTCACTCACCCACTCACTCACCCACCCACTCACTCACCACACTGCAGGTCGCCTCACTTCTCTCTCTCTCTGTTTCTTCCCTCGCATTGCTCCACTGCGGAGTTCTCTCCTCCTCCCACCACCATCAGCATCAACATCGGCGGGCTGAAGTGGTCAATAATCGGCGCGTTTTGTTTACGTGTGTCGTGTGGTGGAGGATTACGACACAACTTTTATACTCACGGGACCTAACCCAAACGCCTTTACTGGGGACAATATTGGTCGCGAAAGCCGACAGCGCGATACAATCACCGCCACCAACGTCAAATAAAATAAAAACTGTGCTCAAGAAACGTAACGACTCTTATCGATTACGTGCTGTTCGTCGCTGGCCGCTTGACGCTTTGCTCTCACTCACGATCCTGCGATCCAATAGCCGTGCTCCATCTCCGCGATGGATGTCCTCTTTGCACCGCAAAATTGTTTATAACACACCACGAGTAATGATAACTAACCCGCAGTGTCACACACACACTGCCACACTGTGTCCCTGTAACACACACACACTGTAGGTGTAACACACATACACACTGTACGTGTAACACACACACACTTTACGTGTAACACACACACACACTGTACATGTAACACATACACACTGTAGGTGTAACACACACACACTGTACGTGTAACACACACACTGTGTACGTGTAACACACATACACTGTGTGTACGTGTAACACACACACTGTGTACGTGTAACACACACACTGTACGTGTAACACACACACACTGTACGTGTAACACACACTGTACGTGTAACACACACACACTGTACGTGTAACACACTGGCACAGTGCGGGAATTTGGAGCTGTCCGCCGGTGGTGGTGCTGAAAGTGCCTGGCTGTGGCTGTGAGGGTGGTGGTGCTGAAAGTGCCTGGCTGTGGCTGTGAGGGTGGGGGTCTCGTGGGGGATGTGGGAGTGGGGGTTGAGGGGGAGGGGTCTGGGGTGCAGGAGAGGGTGCGGGGGGGGGAGAGTGGGGGGTAGGGGAGCAGGGGGTAGGGATCGCCGGCTCTGATTGGGATATTGCGCCAGACGTTGACAGAAGCTTGGAAGGAGGAGCATTCATGCAGCATCAATGGTAGCAGCAACATCGGCAGCAGCAGCAGTAACGGTAGAAGCAACAGCATCACTATTATAGCAGCAGCAGCAGCAGCAACAGCAGTCGCATGGTCAATAGCAGCAGTAGCAGCAGCAAGAACGGTAGTCGCAGCAGCACTCTCGCTACAAGGCGATAGCAGCAGCAACAGAAGTAACAGTAGCAGCAGCAGAAACATCATTAGCAGCAATGATCAGCAGCGCTATGCATACTATACTACAGCAGCAAGAGCAGCAATAGCAGCAGCACTACGGATACAATACTGGAGCAGCAGCAGCAGCGGCTCTCTGAATAAAATACTGTAGCAACAACAGCAGGAGCAGTATCAGCAGCGGCGGCAACAGCAACAGGAGTAAGAGCAACGGGGGTAGCATCGGTAGCAACAGCAGTAGCAGCAGTAGCAGGAGCATCCCCCCTACCAGTAATAGTCGCAGCAGGATCAGCAGCAGCGGCAGCCGCATCAACATCATCAGCGCAACCAACTGATGAATATCGGTATCAGCAGCAGCAGCAGAGGAGGAAGTGTGATGATGGGGTTGAGATGATGGTGGTGGTGGTGATGTTGATGCCATCAAGAAGCTGGAATGCAGCGCGAGCCCGGTGAGTGGTGGTGGTTTTGGTATTTGTGGTGGTGGTGATGGTTATGATTGTGGTGAGGGTGGTAGTGGTGAAGGATATGATTGTGGTTTTGGTAATGGTGGTAGTGGTGTTGAAAAGATTGTGGTGATGGTGGTAGTGGTGTTGTAAAGATTGTGGTGATGGTGGTAGTGGTGATGGTTATGATTGTGATTTTGGTGATGGTGGTAGTGCTGTTGGAAAGATTGTGGTGATGGTGGTAGTGGTGATGGTAATGATTGTGATTTTGGTGATGGTGGTAGTGGTGTTGGAAAGATTGTGGTGATGGTGGTAGTAGTGATGGTTATGATTATGGTTTTGGTGATGGTGGTAGTGGTGATGGTTATGATTGTGGTTTTGGTGATGGTAGTAGTGGTGATGGTAATGATTGTGGTTTTGTTGATGGTGGTAGTGGTGTTGGAAAGATTGTGGTGATGGTGGTAGTGGTGATGGTTATGAATGTGGTTTCGGTGATGGTGGTCGTGGTGATGGATATGAACGTGGTTTTGGTGATGGTGGTAGTGGTGATGGTAATGATTGTTGTTTTGGTGATGGTGGTCGTGGTGATGGTTATGATTGTTGTGAGGGTGGTAGTGGTGATGGTTATGATTGTGGTTTTGGTGATGGTGGTCGTGGTGATGGATATGAATGTGGTTTTGGTGATGGTGGTAGTGGTGATGGTAATGATTGTGGTTTTGGTGATGGTGGTAGTGGTGACGGGTATGATTGTGGTGATGGTGGTATTGGTGATGGTTATGATTGTGGTGATGGTGGTAGTGGTGATGGTTATGATTATGGTTTTGGTGATGGTGCTAGTGGTGATGGATGTGGTTATGATAGATTGGGATAGTGGTGGTGATTATGATAGTGGTGGTGGTAAAAGTGGTGGTGTTTTGGTGATGGTCATGGTGCTGGATGTTGTGACGAATGCGGTTAGTGGATGGGGAAGTTGATGATGATGGTGGCAGTGACCGTGATATGGGCGATGGTGGTGGTGTTCTGATAGTGGTTGTGGTGATGGCAGTGGCTGTAGTGGTGGTGGTGATGATAGTGAATGTAGGTGTGGTGATGATTATAATGATGCTGATGGCGATGATGACGGTGGTGGTCGTGCTATGATGGTGGTGATTTTCACAATGGTAAGAACGGTGATAGTGGTAACAGTGATGGTGATGTCAGTGACGGTTTTAGAGTTGGTTACGGCTATGGCGGTGACAATGATGATTGTGGTGATTTTATTTATGGTTATGGTGGTGGTGATGATGGTTGTGACGGCAGTGATTGTCGTGATAGTGACACTGATGGTGACGGCGGTAGTGATGTTTATGTTGATGGTGGTGGTGACAGTGACGATGTTGGTGATGGTAAGAGAGGGTGCTAATGATGGTGATAGTGGATATTCATATTTATTGTGATGATAACAATTTATATTATTATTACAATGGTTGATGTTTGTGGAGCATGCCATGCTAACGTGGGTATGTTTTTCCAGCAGTGGATTGAAAGGCCCCCATCTTAAATATGCGAGGGGACAACCACACAATGAGCAAAACTCCTACAGTCCGCCTCTCACTCACATCTGCCTGTCCATGTAATAACAAGTGAAGGTGTTCTTTTATTGACACATCCCGTCAGCCGCACGGCCTTCTGGGAGTGATATATTTCAGCAGCGATGGTTTCATATAATCAGCAGTAGGTCGTTGAGTTCAGTAGCAACATACACATACACACGTGTTCTCATCATTGACGGCAATTGTGTCCTTGTGTCTATGTGAGTCTTTGGGTCTCTCTGTGACTCTATGTAAGTAATATGGATCATATCAGCGTATGCAAGTATGGCTCTCTGTGTAAGTCCGCGGGTCTCAATGTGAGTTTTTGGATCATATAATGTATACTTGAGTCTATGAGTCTCTGTGCCAATCTGTGGGTCTGGTTGTGAGCCAATAATCAAGTCAATGAACGTGAGTCAATGGGTTTCTATGCGAGTCTGTGGGTGTATATGTGGGCCTATGGATCATGTGTGAGTCTGTGGGTCTCTATGTGGGTCTATGGATCACGTGTGAGTCTGTGGGTCTCTATGTGTGTCTATGGATCACGTGTGAGTCTGTGGGTCTCTGTGTGTGTCTATGGATCACGTGTGAGTCTGTGGGTCTCTATGTGTGTCTATGGGTCGTGTGTGAGTCTGTGGGTGTCTGTGTGTCTATGGATCGTGTGTGAGTCTGTGGGTGTCTATGTGTGTCTATGGGTCGTGTGTGAGTCTGTGGGTCTCTATGTGTGTCTATGGATCGTGTGTGAGTCTGTGGGTCTCTATGTGGGTCTATGGATCGTGTGTGAGTGTGTGGGTCTCTATGTGGGTCTATGGATCATGTGTGAGTCTGTGGGTCTCTATGTGGGTCTATGGATCATGTGTGAGTCTGTGGGTCTCTATGTGTATCTATGGATCGTGTGTGAGTCTGTGGGTCTCTATGTGGGTCTATGGATCATGTGTGAGTCTGTGGGTCTCTATGTGTGTCTATGGGTCACGTGTGAGTCTGTGGGTCTCTATGTGTGTCTATGGATCACGTGTTAGTCTGTGGGTCTCTATGTGGGTCTATGGATCATGTGTGAGTCTGTGGGTCTCTATGTGTATCTATGGATCGTGTGTGAGTCTGTGGGTCTCTATGTGGGTCTATGGATCATGTGTGAGTCTGTGGGTCTCCATGTGTGTCTATGGATCGTGTGTGAGTCTGTGGGTCTCTATGTGGGTCTATGGATCATGTGTGAGTCTGTGGGTCTCTATGTGTGTCTATGGATCATGTGTGAGTCTCTGGGTCTCTATGTGTGTCTATGGATCATGTGTGAGTCTGTGGGTCTCTATGTGTGTCTATGGATCATGTGTGAGTCTGTGGGTCTCTATGTGGGTCTATGGATCGTGTGTGAGTCTGTGGGTCTCTATGTGTGTCTATGGATCATGTGTGAGTCTGTGGGTCTCTATGTGGGTCTATGGGTCGTGTGTGAGTCTGTGGGTCTCTATGTGGGTCTATGGATCACGTGTGAGTCTGTGGGTCTCTATGTGTGTCTATGGATCGTGTGTGAGTCTGTGGGTCTCTATGTGGGTCTATGGGTCGTGTGTGAGTCTGTGGGTCTCTGTATGGGTCTATGGATCACGTGTGAGTCTGTGGGTCTCTATGTGGGTCTCTGGATCACGTGTGAGTCTGTGGGTCTCTATGTGGGTCTATGGATCGTGTGTGAGTCTGTGGGTCTCTATGTGGCTCTATGGATCATGTGTGAGTTTGTGAGTCTCTATGTGTGTCTATGGATCATGTGTGATTCTGTGGGTCTCTGTGTGTGTCTATGGATCGTGTGTGAGTCTGTGGGTCTCTATGTGGGTTTATGGATCATGTGTGGGTCTGTGGGTCTCTATGTGGGTCTATGGATCGTGTGTGAGTCTGTGGGTCTCTATGTGTGGCTATGGATTACGTGTGAGTCTGTGGGTCTCTTTGTGTGTCTATGGATCATGTGTGAGTCTGTGGGTCTCTGTGTGGGTCTATGGATCGTGTGTGAGTCTGTGGGTCTCTATGTGGGTCTATGGATCGTGTGTGAGTCTGTGGGTCTCTATGTGTGTCTATGGATCATGTGCGAGTCTGTGGGTCTCTATGTGTGTCTATGGATCGTGTGTGAGTCTGTGGGTCTCCATGTGTGTCTATGGATCACGTGTGAGTCTGTGGGTCTCTGTGTGTGTCTATGGATCGTGTGTGAGTCTGTGGGTGTCTATGTGTGTCTATGGATCGTGTGTGAGTCTGTGGGTCTCTATGTGGGTCTATGGATCGTGTGTGAGTCTGTGGGTCTGTGTGTGTGTCTATGGATCGTGTGTGAGTCTGTGGGTCTCTATGTGTGTCTATGGATAGTGTGTGAGTCTGTGGGTCTCTATGTGTGTCTATGGGTCGTGTGTGAGTCTGTGGGTCTCTATGTGGGTCTATGGATAGTGTGAGTCTGTGGGTCTCTGTGTGGGTCTATGGATCACGTGTGAGTCTGTGGGTCTCTATGTGGGTCTATGGGTCGTGTGTGAGTCTGTGGGTCTCTGTATGGGTCTATGGATCACGTGTGAGTCTGTGGGTCTCTATGTGGGTCTCTGGATCACGTGTGAGTCTGTGGGTCTCTATGTGGGTCTATGGATCGTGTGTGAGTCTGTGGGTCTCTATGTGGCTCTATGGATCATGTGTGAGTTTGTGAGTCTCTATGTGTGTCTATGGATCATGTGTGATTCTGTGGGTCTCTGTGTGTGTCTATGGATCGTGTGTGAGTCTGTGGGTCTCTATGTGGGTTTATGGATCATGTGTGAGTCTGTGGGTCTCTATGTGGGTCTATGGATCGTGTGTGAGTCTGTGGGTCTCTATGTGTGGCTATGGATTACGTGTGAGTCTGTGGGTCTCTTTGTGTGTCTATGGATCATGTGTGAGTCTGTGGGTCTCTGTGTGGGTCTATGGATCGTGTGTGAGTCTGTGGGTCTCTATGTGGGTCTATGGATCGTGTGTGAGTCTGTGGGTCTCTATGTGTGTCTATGGATCATGTGCGAGTCTGTGGGTCTCTATGTGTGTCTATGGATCGTGTGTGAGTCTGTGGGTCTCCATGTGTGTCTATGGATCACGTGTGAGTCTGTGGGTCTCTGTGTGTGTCTATGGATCGTGTGTGAGTCTGTGGGTGTCTATGTGTGTCTATGGATCGTGTGTGAGTCTGTGGGTCTCTATGTGGGTCTATGGATCGTGTGTGAGTCTGTGGGTCTGTGTGTGTGTCTATGGATCGTGTGTGAGTCTGTGGGTCTCTATGTGTGTCTATGGATAGTGTGTGAGTCTGTGGGTCTCTATGTGTGTCTATGGGTCGTGTGTGAGTCTGTGGGTCTCTATGTGGGTCTATGGATAGTGTGAGTCTGTGGGTCTCTGTGTGGGTCTATGGATCACGTGTGAGTCTGTGGGTCTCTATGTGGGTCTATGAATCGTGTGTGAGTCTGTGGGTCTCTATGTGGGTCTATGGATCATGTGTGAGTCTGTGGGTCTCTATGTGTGTCTATGGGTCATGTGTGAGTCTGTGGGTCTCTATGTGTGTCTATGGGTCATGTGTGAGTCTGTGGGTCTCTATAGATCACGTGTGAGTCTGTGGGTCTCTACGTGGGTCTATGAATCATGTGTGAGTCTGTGGGTCTCTATGTGTGTCTATGGATCGTGTGTGAGTCTGTGGGTCTCTATGTGTGTATATGGATCACGTGTGAGTCTGTGGGTCTCTATGTGTGTCTATGAATCGTGTGTGAGTCTGTGGGTCTCTATGTGGTTCTATGCAGCATACGTATGTTTCGTGGGTTCGATCCCGACCCTGACGTCTGCACATTTGGAGTTTGCGTGGTCTCCCCTGTGGTCGTGTGGATGTTTTTTTTTCTCCGGGTCCTCCAGTTTTTACCTCCGCATTTAGAAACACCACGTGCTCTGGAGTGTCCGGCTGCTATGAATGTCCACGTGATGGGCCGCTACGTTGAGCTATCATTTGTGGCCAGGTCGCTTCTGAAAAAGAGCTGTGTAGGTCAGTGGGGCCTTACCTGGTAGAATTAATAAAACAGTAAAATATCAGCGCGCGTGATTCAATGGATGTCTGTGCGAGTACGTGGGGTCTTTTAAATGTGAGTCTTAAATGTCTTCATGCAAGTCTGTTGTTCGCGATCGAACATCGCGAACAGATTTGCTCAACACTCGTATTCGTCATCATCGTCATCACCACCACCATCGTCATCACCACCATTATCATCATCATCACCACCATCATCATGACCATCATCAACACCATCATTATCACCACCATCATCACCACCATCGTCATCACCACCAACATCATCATCACCACCATCAACATCACCACCACCATCACCACCATCACCACCACCATCATCACCATCACCACCATCACCACCACCATCATCACCACCACCATCACCACCACCATCACCACCATCACCACCACCATCACCACCATCACCACCACCATCACCACCATCACCACCACCATCACCACCATCACCATCGCTGTGTGCGTGCGCCTGGCAGGCTGAGGGGCCGTGCTGGCGGGCGGTAGGGCGATGGGCAACGCGGCGGAGAAGGCGGCAGACGCCCCTCCTCCTCCTCCCCCCGCCTCCTCCTCCTCGCAGCAGCCGCAACAGCCGCAACAGCAGCAGCAGCAGCCGCAACAGCAGCCGCAGCAGCTGCAGCAGCAACAGCAGCAGCAGCAGCCGCAACAGCAGCAGCAGCTGCAGCAGCCGCAGCAGCAGCAGCGCCGGGGCTCCGAGGGGGGCGGCCCCCCCGACGGGATGGTGGACCTCAGCACACGCAGACTGCGCGGGCTGCCCCTGCAGGCGAGTGGCACGACCCCCCCCCCCCCAATCCCCCTACCCCCCTACTCACCTACTCCCCTAGCCCCCTACCACCCAACTCACCTAGCCCCCAATCCCCCTACCCCCCAACTCACCTACCCCCTTACCCCCCAACTCACCTACCCCCCAATCCCCCTACCCCCCGACTCACCTACTCCCTAGCCCCTAGCCCCCAACTCACCTAGCCCCCAACCCCCCTACCCCCCAACTCACCTACCCCCTTACCCCCCAACTCACCTACCCCCCAACTCACCTACCCCCCGACTCACCTAGCCCCCAATCCCCCTACCCCCCAATCCCCCTACCCCCCAACTCACCTACTCCTTAGCCACCTACTCCCCTACCCCCATACCCCCTACCCCCCAACTCACCTACCCCCCAACTCACCTACCCCCCAATCCCCCTACCCCCCAACTCACCTACTCCCCTAACCCCCATACCCCCTACTCACCTACCCCCCAATCCCCCTACCCCCCAACTTCCTACTCACCTATCCCCCGACCCCCCTACCCCCCTACCAGCTCGATCGGGTTGCGCGTGGCACCGAAATCGCCTCGAGCCGAAAGAGAGAAGTTCACTCAGCAGCTGAGTTTGCTCTTTTTAGTTTGTCCCGGTAGCCAATGTCACGATTCGCAATGATGATGTTGTTGTTGTTGATGTGCCGGACGTTGCTGCACGTGGACGTGCGCCCGTGAGCCATCGCCTGTGGAGGGAGGGAGGGAGGCAGCAGCCAGGAGGGAGGGGGGTGTTGGTGGATCACCGCGCACACAGAGAGACGCGCGCGGAGCGACCTTCCCGTGTGCGTCGAGGATGAGACGCCGGGCCGCTGGCTCGCCAGGAGAGGGCGGTGCAGCAAATGCGAGCCCCCCCCAACCCCCCCTACCCCCCACCCCCTACCCCGCCCCCCCTCCACCCCCCACACCCCCCACACCCCCCCCCCCACCCGCTTCAATTCCGTCTCTCAATGGCAGAGGTGGTGAACCTTTTTTGTCTACCAAGGGCAATTTGGATATTTATAACAACATCATTCGCGGGCCGTACAAAATGATCAACTGAAAAATTAGCCCGTTGTTATATTTGTCTTCTTGGTTCTTTCGGTAAAGTCACGTAGAAGGGAAATAATAAAAATAAAACATAAAATTATTCTCACGACGTTTCGTTATATTTGGTCAAACATTTCATTAAATCGCCCCTAATGCGATGGCTGGAACAGCTTCTCTTTGGCGAGGCGTGTGATGATGTTGCTGCTGCTACTCGCAACTGCTTTTCCAGGTTTGCTCCTAGAGATTCATTGAATTTAGAGTCCCGCCTGCGGTTGCCTTGGCAGGGCCACACCAAATGATTTCGTGGGCCTCGTACGGCCTGCGGGCCGGACGTTCCCCAGCCCTGCTCTATGGGATTCACTAAATCAGCGGTCCTCAAACTTTTTTGGCACCCAGGGACCGGTTTCGTGGAAGACAATTTTTCACGGACCGGGGTGGGGAGGGGAGTTCATCATAGATAGATAGATCGTTTATTGTCATTGTCACCAGTACAACGAAATTTAAAATGCTCACCAGTCAGGGCCTCATTCATAAATTGAAATTAAATAAAACAAGAAAATAAAAATAAAATTAAATGAAAGATAATCAATTTATACTATATATAAAAACAGCCCAAGTATTACCCACATACCCACATAAGGTTACATTTTGTCATTGCACATCTCTATTTCACAGTCAATTGTAAACGCTATTACTTAATAATTAATTAGCATTATTGAGTGTGGTGATCGCTGTAGGATAAAAGCTCTGTTTGAATCTGTTTGTCCTTGTCTTTCCCCCTTTTCAAAGAAGTTCTCCGGCGATGTTTGTTTTTTACTCATTGTTGCTACTAGGGGTTAGAGTTTGTGGACGGCCCCCAAGGGAGTAAAGTGTGGTTTTGTGAAAGTCCTTATGTGCTGTGCGGTACATCGATGCACGTGTGTACACCAGCATGCGATAACGGAGTTGGGCCTGTGGGTCGCTGGCAGGGTTATTGATGAACTGGACTTGTACACCAGCCACGTGGTTAATGGCGACTCGGTTGAGGATTGCTGTGTGTGTCACACGTGCATTCTACAGGTAAAGGACCCCAAAGGTTGTTTTTGATCGTTCTAGAAATGTTCTAGACTTGTTCTAGACTTCAAGCTTGGCTTTGAATTGTTAGTTTGTGATATATTCAATAGGAGGGGTTTTAGCACTGTGCACTGTAACGGACGACGTACTGTAATTACGTACTGTATTTGTAACTCTCTAACCCTAATGCTGTTTATCCTATAACCATGCCCATGCACACAGAGTATGACTACTTGCAATGCTATTGAGACTAGAACACATGTACAGTAGTAAGTTGTAGATGGTGACAAGTACAGTACGTATACTGTACACGTCCTTCATTTTGAGTGTGCAACACCTGTCACCCCAATCGCTAAGCCGCCTCTCTCTCCTCCTCCATCACCTCCACGACCATCGTCACCACCTCCTCCACCATTGTCCCCACCACCTCCTCCACCACCTGCTCCACCACCATCACCACGTCCACCATTGTCCCCTCCACCACCTCCTCTACCGCCACCATCACCACCTCCTCCACCATTGTCCCCACTTTCACTGCATCAACCTTCACCACCAACATCACCACCACCTCCAACACCACCACCTCCACCACCTGCTCCACCACCTCCACCGTTGTCCCCACCACCACCACCTCCTCCACCATCGTCACCACCACCTCCACGACCATCGTCACCACCTCCACCATTGTCCCCACCACCTCCTCCATCACCCATTATCACCACTTTCACCGCATCAACCTTCACCACCAGCATCACCACCACCTCCAACATCACCACCACCGCCTCCACGATTGCCCCCACCATCACCACCTCCACCGTTGTCCCCACCACCTCCTCCACCACCTCCTCCACCACCGTCACCACCTTCACCGCATTCCCCGCCGCCGTAGGTGTGCGGCTTCCGCAACGTGGTGAAGCTGTACGCCAGCGACAACCTCCTGCGCGACCTCCCGGTCGAGCTCGGCCGCCTCAGCCGCCTGCGCATCCTCGCGCTCGACGCCAACCGCCTGGACGAGCTGCCGCGCTGCGTGTGCGGCCTCGCCTCCCTCTCGCGCCTCTACCTGGGCGGCAACCGCCTGCGCTCGCTGCCCGCCGAGCTGCGCGACCTGCGCGCCCTCCGCTCCCTCTGGATCGACAACAACCGCTTCCGCTCGCTGCCGCCCTCCCTCTGCGAGCTGCCCCAGCTGCGCACGCTCCAGGCGGGCGACAACCGCCTGCGCTCGCTGCCCGACGGCGTCGCGCGGCTGCGCGAACTGCGCGGCATCTGGCTCTATGGCAACCGCTTCACCGAGTTCCCCGACGTGCTGCGGCGCGCCGAGAGCCTCGAGGTCATCGACGTCGACCGCAACGGCATCCGCCGCTTCCCGCCGCTGTCGCGCATGCCCCGTCTCAAGCTGCTCTCGTTCGACCACAACCCCTGCCGCCTGCCGCCCGAGGTGGCCGCACGGGTGACGCTGGTCGGGGAGGCCGAGGGGGCGGTGGGCGGGCGGCCGCTCACGGCGAGGGGCGGCGGCGGCGGCACGGTGGCGCTGGCGGCCGCCGTCACGGAAGATTCCGACGTTCGCTGAGCCCGGCGGGGTTGACCCGGTTTGCTGCCGCCGCCGCCACCACCGCTGCTGCTGCTACTGGTTGTTGTTGTTGTTGTTTTTCTACGACGGCGCGCGTTTGGGGGGTGTCACATTCGGCGAGAGTTTCTAGCAAGTGCCCGGTGGTGTTTCCAGCCCGGTGGTTTTAATGCGAGGTGAACTTTCATTGTGACGGCACACGATGAGCAAACACCGCGGTCAACCCCCATACGGTTTATAAGCCCGTATTCTTGTACAGGTAAATTGAGTGTTCAGGGCCATTCGCCTCAAGAACCGTTTCAATACGGGCAAAACAAAATGACGCGTCTATTTGTTTGTGTTTCTCCCCTTGTGATGGGACTTTATAGGATGAACGTTGAGATTTAAAAGGGGCACGGGATGACCAACAAGGTCTGAATTGGTCTGTAATAAGGTAGGGGCACTGATAAGGGGTTGACAGGTATGGATGAGGCAGTCCCGCGATTAGTTTGGCGGCCATTTTTGTCCTTCGTCACAATTCCTGCGAAAATTCCTGCATTAGTTTCGACCTTTCGAGGTCTCATCAGCAGAGTGAGCATTGTTGAATATGTCTTGCTGGAGGTACCGGAGGTTTGCCGGTGAGAGCACTCCGTCTTTAAGATGTGCTCAAGTCTCCCGAGATACCATCGGTAGGCCAGGGTTCCGGGTTGTTATTCGTGCTTTCGAGGTCCCTGACTCTCTGTTCACAATCAACAAGGACCTTAATTTTAACACACGACCAATATTATCCATAATAGAGGTTTTTTTTTTTGGAAGAGAGGGGTTTAACGACACATTTATATTTAAGCGATCGAACGTCCCAAAAAAAGACCTCTATTAAGGACCTTCATGATGGCGGGCAGGCCTGGGGTAAAACCTGGGCCCGAACCTTCGCCTGCTAGCGATATCGTAGTATCCGGCCAAAGCGCGAAGATGAAATGCTCGACCCGCTGTTTGTCGCGCAACAACAAAATAAGAAGCAATATGGCACAGAGGCACTCGTCAGCGTGCAACTTGCGAAGCGTGTGGCGCGGTTTACGAAGAATAGCCAGAGTTTACACTATGAGACCTCTCCTTTACCAGTGGCAAAATATAGTAGTAGGTTTTTACCCTTTAAACTGGTACAAAAACTGACACCTTTATACAAGGCATCATGTTTGCAATAACCACAACACAAGCACGCCTTTTGGTGTCATCTGGTCCAACACCAATGGAGACTAGGCTCTAAGGAAAGCTGTCTCGGGTGTGGACCAATCAACTTCAAGGACAGTGCATTTCATTATCACTATCAGAGTTGTTTCTTTTTGTTTGCATTTTGACTACTTGCGTTGTGGTTATTGCAAACATGATGCCTTGTATAAAGGTGTCAGTTTTGTACCAGTTTAAAGGGTAAAACCTTCTACTATAATAGCCAGAGTTTCCACATCGAACTGGAAGCGCGTTTAAGTCCATCGGACGAATTGGTCTTCCAGTTCGAATAGCTATGCAGCAGGCATTTGTATCAGTGGGAACACTCCGGAGTGGTTTCGACATTTATGGGTCTCAGCAGCAGCAGCAGTCAGACCTTCTGGGGTTTCTTTTTTGTTGTGCCAGATGTTATTGGCAAGAGCGCTCGCCCCCTTCATCGCTAAGGCGGGGTTGGTTAGAGGTTCCGTTCGGTACAACAAGCAATGCAATGCAAGTTCATTCTCCACCTGTTGTTGTGTGGCGGTCAGCTTATATCATGACTTACAGCTGCCCCCCATCCCCTTCTCATTCAACTGTCCTCTGTTGGAGGCCAGCCTCATGCCATGTCGGTTGTAGGGGGGGGGTGGGGGGTGTTTGACCATACTTCATACTTCACCTGGCCACTGCTGGTTTGGAGAGGTGGGTTTCTTGTGGGCTGCCCCGGGATCAACTGTGTATAAAATATATAAATGTATACATTGTGTAAATAGATATTATAGAATGTTATATTTATTTATTTATTCCTGCCATTTAAACCTGCCAAAAAATACCACCAGTCCGTATGCTCAGGCAATCGGGCCGTCCCATATTTCAAAATCGCTTGCGTAGATTCCATTAGAACACGGGTAAACAACGCCGTGATATCACTTAAACACGAGCCACTCGATGTAAGTGTTTAGTTACTTTCACTTAAGAAAAAAAGGTTCACTCAACAAGTATTTTAACTTCGAAAGAAGAAACACGTCACGCATTTATTTTGAACACGACCAGATCTAAATCCCCGCACAACTTCAAATCGTCACCCGTGCTGCTCCACAACAGCGCAGACGCGATAGTTAAAATCGGAGCCGTCCCAAGGGTACACGGCGAATCGGGCCGACCGCCCTGGGCCCCGCGCTTTGGGGGGAGGGGGGGCGGTGGCGAGTGGGGTGCGCTTTTCGACGTCACGGTGTCAAATGGAATATTTCCGATTTTTGGTGTGTGAGTTTCCCCGGGCTTCGCACTTACCCCCCCCCCCCCCATCCTCGCCCTAGGGACGGCTTTGGTTATAATCGACTGTTATCGATCTGCATCATCGATCTGCATCATCGATCGTTATACAGCCGATTCGGTGGTGAGAGGCGGGGTGCAATGGGCGAAACTGCCCCCCGCCCCCCCACCTTGGAATGTTCTCTACTCGCCACTCGCAGTGTCTGCACCAGCGAGCTGAGTAGGGGGGGGGGGGGGTACGGGAGGTGATGAGAGTGGGGAGGGATGGGGGAGCGTCACGATTTCACTCGATAATTTATTTCACTTTGACTCGTTTGCGTGCCGTCTCCTTTGTATTTGTCCATCTCGTTTGCACCGTCTTCGAGAGCCTCTCCTGCCTCCTTTGATATCGCAAGAGGCCCGCGTGGCTCTGTCGGGCGAGACGGAGGAATCCGATTCCATCCCTCGTGCCCTGTCCATCGCATCGTGACATCGCGAAAGGTGGCGGCGTCGTCATAGGCGGCGGCTTCATCCAGCAGTGGATTAGCCATGGCCCACGACGATGATGATGATGAGCACGACGAGGGTGATCGTTTGCCAATGTTACATTTGGGACAATGGGGCCAGGTCGTGAAAAGGAGGCAACAAACTAGATGGGTGGGGGGGAGCGAAATCGATACGAATCCAAACGGAACCATTGGGGGGAGGTCAGGTCTTCATCCAGCAGTCGATTGACCATGACCCCTGATGACGACGACGACGATGATGATGATGGTGGTGAATTATTGTTTAAAACGCAGAATATCCTGTTCAAAGTTTACACAAAATATATAACTTTATATACTACGTATGAATATAGATTGATATATACAAAGCGTCTAGCCGGAATGCACCCACATCTCAGAAGCTAAGCAGGGCTTGAGCCTGGAACAGCGCTTGTGTGTGAGCGAGCAGCGGCATGCATCACAGGTGCTATAGGCTACTGGCCGGGCAGCGTTGTCAGTAGCGGCAGAGGGCAGTGCATGAAACCCAGTTGTGCTGTACTCCTATGCTCCCCCCGCGTGTATCCCTCGCCCCCGCCTTCACCGTCAAGCCCGCACTGACCAGCGTGGGGATGTATGGTCAACTAGCCTCTATCGAGCAGTGGAGTGCCAACAAGGGCTGTCCGTGTACACACATGGAGTAGAGTGTGAGCGAGAGAGACACACCGCCACGTTGACTGTGAAGACAGCTGGACACGTGAGGGCGAGAAGGGGACGACGATGATGATGGTGACGATGATGATGATGACGAGGATGATGGTGACGATGGTGACGATGATGAGGAAGGTGATGACGATGGTGATGATGGTGATGATGATGGTGACGATGATGACGAGGATGATGGTGACGATGATGACGATGGTGATGATGACGATGATGATGGTGATGACGATGATGATGGTGACGATGATGACAGTGATGACGATGGTGATGATGACGACGATAATGAAGGTGATGACGATGATGACGGTGACGATGAAGGTGATGATGATGATGATGGTGACGATGATGATGGTGACGATGATGACGATGGTGGCGATGATGACGATGTTGATGGTGACGATGATGATGATGACGATGGTGACGGTGATGACGACGATGGTGACGATGATGATGGTGACGATGGTGATGACGATGATGATGATGGTGACGATGATGACGATGATCATGATGATGGTGATGGCGGTCGAGACTTAACGACTCGCCCCGAGATGGCAACGCCTTGGGGGAGGAGGGGAGACAGGCCTTCATCCAGCAGTGGATCGATGACCGCTGACGATGACAGCGATACGTGTGCGCACTCAACACTTGATGCTATCCGCATGCCGTGTGCTTGGTGAGACACATCGTGCCATTTGGATAAACACGAATTACATTTTATTTTTTGGTAAAAAAAAGTCATTACGATTGTGTCCTGCAGTGTTGCAAACCGTGCGTGCGCGACTCGATATTTGTACCAAGGTAGCTTTGGATAATAATTATATAAAAATACTATAGAGCATATCTGCAATTATAAATATAAGATGATATGGCAAAGATGAATAATCCTGATATTTATTTTCATACGTTGCGTCATCCGCGATCTTCATTTGGAATCTCGATCGATTCTATTCCGAAGACGACGACGATGTGGATGATGATATCGATGATGATGATGATTATGATGATGATATATTATTTTTAGTACATGTTAATTTCTACTCGTGGCTCTCGAATTTGGATGGATCTGGTACGCCCAAGATTGTAAATATTAACGGGTTGTTTTTTTTTTAATCACTTTGTTCATTTAACGTAACCGGCGATGTCCCTGGCCTAAAAAGGAGAGAGAAAGAGCGAGATAATTACGACTCAGTTGATTCGATCGTCGATTATTTCAGCAGAAATATACGACCGCTAATTAAAAAGGGAAAAAAGAAAATCCCCATCACCCGCTCCATTTACAAATTCACAGCTATACGTAATTGCTCACTCCTTCGCCAAGCCGCATTGACCAGCGTGGTGAAGTATGGTCAACCCCACCCAGCAATGCGAATGACAACGCCACAATTGGTCGATCGGCAAGACGCACGGTGGGGTAAAGTGTGGGTACTGCTTACCTCTTCGTCCCATTATGGAAGAGTAGGCCAAAGCGCCCTCTGAAAGGTTCACCGGTGCTCCCTCCTCGTGGTTGAAGGCTCATCGGCAAGCGGTGGAATTGCCAAGAAATTGCAGGGATGCGCCTTTACCCATTCGTCTCGTGGTGGAATCCTGACGGCGTCTTCCCTGCCAGCATGAGCATGGGGGGGCTGCGCTCATTTGTTGGCAGGCAAAGCCATCATCGGTGCCACTTTCATTATCCTCATGATATGGACCACGTCCATCCAACCAATCCTGACAACTCGCGTTCGTACAAATCCCCTGGCTTTGTCTGGAGGCCTGAGCATGCATTACTACTTTCTCTCACTGTGGTTACAGACATCACGGGATTCACAATAAACTCGGTTGCTGTTGGCGACGGACAGTAATGGACACATCTGATTTCGTAACAAGTGAAAGGGAATTTTGGGTGGTTCAGGGAGTGAGCGAGGAGTGAGTTGGGTGGTTGAGTGAGGAGTGAATGGGTGAGTCAGTGGGTGGTGATTCAGTGGGTGAGTGAGTGGGTGGGTGAGTGAGTGGGTGGGTAAGTGAGTGAGTGGGTGAGTGAGTGGGTGAGTGAGTGGGTGAGTGGATAGGTGAGTTGGTGGGTGAGTCGGTGGGTGGGTGAGTGGGTGAGTGAGTGAGTGGGTGAGTGAGAGGGTGGGTGAGTGGGTGGGTAAGTGAGGAGTGAGTCGGTAGGTGAGTTGGTGGGTGAGTCGGTGGGTGGGTGAGTGAGTGGGTGAATGAGTGGGTGAGTGAGTGGGTGGGTAAGTGAGGAGTGAGTGGGTGAGTGAGTGAGTAGGTGAATCGGTGAGTGAGTCGGTGGGTGGGTGAGTGAGTGAGTGGGTGAGTGGGAGGGTAAGTGAGGTGTGAGTGGGTAGGTGAGTTGGTGGGTGGGTGAGTGGGTGGGTAAGTGAGGAATGGGTGAGTGAGTGGGTGGGTGAATCGGTGAGTGAGTGGGTAGGTGAGTTGGTGGGTGAGTCGGTGGGTGGGTGAGTGAGTGGGTGAGTGAGTGGGTGGGTGAGTCGGTGAGTGAGTCGGCGGGTGAGTGAGTGGGTGAGTGAGTGAGTGGGTAGGTGATTCTGTGGGTGAGTGGGTGGGTAAGTGAGGAGTGAGTGGGTAGGTGAGTCGGTGGGTGAGTCGGTGAGTTTAATTCGCAGGCCCCCACGCCCTAAACAGCTGCGGCCTCCAACTCGCATCATCCACTCCGCCTCTCTGCTGGCCTCTCGGTGCATGCACTACGAAGAAGGGACATTTCCCGAAACGTCGCCTGCTTCATACATTATTTTGTTTTACTTCGAAGGCTACGCGCTGCGGTGTTGTTATCGACGAATGGGAGTTGTTGCCCTTCGTTGTTGCGCTTCGTTGTTGCCCTTCGTTGTTGCGCTCTACGTCGCCCGCGTTGAACAACAGCAGAGGGCGACACTCCCCCACCGATGGGAGAGGGTGTGAGCGGCGCGGGTGTCGATGGGTTTCGCGAATCGCTCCGAGACGGGCGAGCAAAGTTGGCGAGACCGCGTGGAGGGCCTCCACCGCATTAGAAGGTGCAGGCGAAACGGACGGGCTCCCGGTATGCTCTGATTGGGGGGGGGGGGTGATGACCTGCGGCATCGATTGCCACCGATGAGGAACACGTGGACGAGATCGCGCGCTCACGGCAGGGCCGCTCGCGAACAGCACTTGCCACGGCTGCTGTTACTGCTGCTGCTGCTACCACTGCTGGCTGTGTTCAAGGTGCACGTTGATGTTGGATGTGTTCAACGAGGGCAGGAATTCAATAGCGGCAGGATTTCGCCAGTAAGCACCAATCGTTGTTCTGGCGTGATTCCACGTGCAGTGTCATTTTGGAATTTGACCCCCAATAAAAAATTTGACCCCGAGTGTTGACCCCCCCCCACTCGCACACGGCGTGGGGATTTCTCTTCGGGGTGCTTCAGTGTCCTCCTCGTCCTCCCACGTGGTGCAAACGAACGCAGAGACGTCGCGGCAGAGAGAGAGGCACGCGAAGCGGAGACGTCGCGTTGACGGTGAAGACAAGTAAGCGGGGCTTGGGCAAGACGCCTCGTGGTTTCGAACGGGAAGACGACAACACGGAGGCCGAGAACGATGGCGCAGTGGCACCCGAGGGATGGCGGCAGCGTCGGGGAGGAGGCTTTCATCTAGCAGTGGATTTATCCTGGCTGCTAGCGATGGTGTTCCGTTATCCTAGACTCCCTCCCCTCTCCCCCCACTCGCACCCCTGGGTTTTCTCCGGTTACTCCGATTTCCTGCCACACGTAGCGCGGTCATGAATACCACTTTGCAAACGTCCTCGTTACAGGCGGCGCTGAGTGTCCGCTGTCATCATCATCATCGCCAACATCGTGGTCATCGCCACCGCGATCACCATCGTCATCATCAGCAGCAGCAGCGTCATCGTCGTCAACACCACCACCACCACCATCATCATCATCAGTTTGGCAATTATCGTCACATCACTATCATCACCACCACGATCACCAAAGTCATCACCACCATTATCACCACCTCCATCATCACCACCGCTATCATACTCTTAGGTTTTTTTCCGGTAAAGTAACGTAGGTAAAAAATAAAAATAAAATAAAATAATAATTAATTAAAATAACTACATTAAATCACGACGTTTCGGAGGCAACACGCTAGAACAGAGTGCTGATGAGAGCCCACGGGTCAAAGCGACGGCCTGCCAACGTCAACATGCAGGCACCGGTGTTCGTCGTCCGTTCACAGCGCTGAGCCAGTTGGTGGAAATTCCACGTTCTTATGGCAGCGGGGGAGGCGGGGGGGGGGCGACTCTATCCATAGGACAGCCACCGTGTGTCTATGAATCGTGTGTGAGTCTGTGGGTCTCTATGTGGTTCTATGCAGCATACGTATGTTTCGTGGGTTCGATCCCGACCCTGACGTCTGCACATTTGGAGTTTGCGTGGTCTCCCCTGTGGTCGTGTGGATGTTTTTTTTTCTCCGGGTCCTCCAGTTTTTACCTCCGCATTTAGAAACACCACGTGCTCTGGAGTGTCCGGCTGCTATGAATGTCCACGTGATGGGCCGCTACGTTGAGCTATCATTTGTGGCCAGGTCGCTTCTGAAAAAGAGCTGTGTAGGTCAGTGGGGCCTTACCTGGTAGAATTAATAAAACAGTAAAATATCAGCGCGCGTGATTCAATGGATGTCTGTGCGAGTACGTGGGGTCTTTTAAATGTGAGTCTTAAATGTCTTCATGCAAGTCTGTTGTTCGCGATCGAACATCGCGAACAGATTTGCTCAACACTCGTATTCGTCATCATCGTCATCACCACCACCATCGTCATCACCACCATTATCATCATCATCACCACCATCATCATGACCATCATCAACACCATCATTATCACCACCATCATCACCACCATCGTCATCACCACCAACATCATCATCACCACCATCAACATCACCACCACCATCACCACCATCACCACCACCATCATCACCATCACCACCATCACCACCACCATCATCACCACCACCATCACCACCACCATCACCACCATCACCACCACCATCACCACCATCACCACCACCATCACCACCATCACCACCACCATCACCACCATCACCATCGCTGTGTGCGTGCGCCTGGCAGGCTGAGGGGCCGTGCTGGCGGGCGGTAGGGCGATGGGCAACGCGGCGGAGAAGGCGGCAGACGCCCCTCCTCCTCCTCCCCCCGCCTCCTCCTCCTCGCAGCAGCCGCAACAGCCGCAACAGCAGCAGCAGCAGCCGCAACAGCAGCCGCAGCAGCTGCAGCAGCAACAGCAGCAGCAGCAGCCGCAACAGCAGCAGCAGCTGCAGCAGCCGCAGCAGCAGCAGCGCCGGGGCTCCGAGGGGGGCGGCCCCCCCGACGGGATGGTGGACCTCAGCACACGCAGACTGCGCGGGCTGCCCCTGCAGGCGAGTGGCACGACCCCCCCCCCCCAATCCCCCTACCCCCCTACTCACCTACTCCCCTAGCCCCCTACCACCCAACTCACCTAGCCCCCAATCCCCCTACCCCCCAACTCACCTACCCCCTTACCCCCCAACTCACCTACCCCCCAATCCCCCTACCCCCCGACTCACCTACTCCCTAGCCCCTAGCCCCCAACTCACCTAGCCCCCAACCCCCCTACCCCCCAACTCACCTACCCCCTTACCCCCCAACTCACCTACCCCCCAACTCACCTACCCCCCGACTCACCTAGCCCCCAATCCCCCTACCCCCCAATCCCCCTACCCCCCAACTCACCTACTCCTTAGCCACCTACTCCCCTACCCCCATACCCCCTACCCCCCAACTCACCTACCCCCCAACTCACCTACCCCCCAATCCCCCTACCCCCCAACTCACCTACTCCCCTAACCCCCATACCCCCTACTCACCTACCCCCCAATCCCCCTACCCCCCAACTTCCTACTCACCTATCCCCCGACCCCCCTACCCCCCTACCAGCTCGATCGGGTTGCGCGTGGCACCGAAATCGCCTCGAGCCGAAAGAGAGAAGTTCACTCAGCAGCTGAGTTTGCTCTTTTTAGTTTGTCCCGGTAGCCAATGTCACGATTCGCAATGATGATGTTGTTGTTGTTGATGTGCCGGACGTTGCTGCACGTGGACGTGCGCCCGTGAGCCATCGCCTGTGGAGGGAGGGAGGGAGGCAGCAGCCAGGAGGGAGGGGGGTGTTGGTGGATCACCGCGCACACAGAGAGACGCGCGCGGAGCGACCTTCCCGTGTGCGTCGAGGATGAGACGCCGGGCCGCTGGCTCGCCAGGAGAGGGCGGTGCAGCAAATGCGAGCCCCCCCCAACCCCCCCTACCCCCACCCCCTACCCCGCCCCCCCTCCACCCCCCACACCCCCCACCCCACCCCCCCCACCCGCTTCAATTCCGTCTCTCAATGGCAGAGGTGGTGAACCTTTTTTGTCTACCAAGGGCAATTTGGATATTTATAACAACATCATTCGCGGGCCGTACAAAATGATCAACTGAAAAATTAGCCCGTTGTTATATTTGTCTTCTTGGTTCTTTCGGTAAAGTCACGTAGAAGGGAAATAATAAAAATAAAACATAAAATTATTCTCACGACGTTTCGTTATATTTGGTCAAACATTTCATTAAATCGCCCCTAATGCGATGGCTGGAACAGCTTCTCTTTGGCGAGGCGTGTGATGATGTTGCTGCTGCTACTCGCAACTGCTTTTCCAGGTTTGCTCCTAGAGATTCATTGAATTTAGAGTCCCGCCTGCGGTTGCCTTGGCAGGGCCACACCAAATGATTTCGTGGGCCTCGTACGGCCTGCGGGCCGGACGTTCCCCAGCCCTGCTCTATGGGATTCACTAAATCAGCGGTCCTCAAACTTTTTTGGCACCCAGGGACCGGTTTCGTGGAAGACAATTTTTCACGGACCGGGGTGGGGAGGGGAGTTCATCATAGATAGATAGATCGTTTATTGTCATTGTCACCAGTACAACGAAATTTAAAATGCTCACCAGTCAGGGCCTCATTCATAAATTGAAATTAAATAAAACAAGAAAATAAAAATAAAATTAAATGAAAGATAATCAATTTATACTATATATAAAAACAGCCCAAGTATTCCCACATACCCACATAAGGTTACATTTTGTCATTGCACATCTCTATTTCACAGTCAATTGTAAACGCTATTACTTAATAATTAATTAGCATTATTGAGTGTGGTGATCGCTGTAGGATAAAAGCTCTGTTTGAATCTGTTTGTCCTTGTCTTTCCCCCTTTTCAAAGAAGTTCTCCGGCGATGTTTGTTTTTTACTCATTGTTGCTACTAGGGGTTAGAGTTTGTGGACGGCCCCCAAGGGAGTAAAGTGTGGTTTTGTGAAAGTCCTTATGTGCTGTGCGGTACATCGATGCACGTGTGTACACCAGCATGCGATAACGGAGTTGGGCCTGTGGGTCGCTGGCAGGGTTATTGATGAACTGGACTTGTACACCAGCCACGTGGTTAATGGCGACTTGGTTGAGGATTGCTGTGTGTGACACCACGTGCTATTGCATTCTACAGGTAAAGGACCCCAAAGGTTGTTTTTGATCGTTCTAGAAATGTTCTAGACTTGTTCTAGACTTCAAGCTTGGCTTTGAATTGTTAGTTTGTGATATATTCAATAGGAGGGGTTTTAGCACTGTGCACTGTAACGGACGACGTACTGTAATTACGTACTGTATTTGTAACTCTCTAACCCTAATGCTGTTTATCCTATAACCATGCCCATGCACACAGAGTATGACTACTTGCAATGCTATTGAGAATAGAACACATGTACAGTAGTAAGTTGTAGATGGTGACAAGTACAGTACGTATACTGTACACGTCCTTCATTTTGAGTGTGCAACACCTGTCACCCCAATCGCTAAGCCGCCTCTCTCTCCTCCTCCATCACCTCCACGACCATCGTCACCACCTCCTCCACCATTGTCCCCACCACCTCCTCCACCAACTGCTCCACCACCATCACCACCTCCACCATTGTCCCCTCCACCACCTCCTCTACCGCCACCATCACCACCTCCTCCACCATTGTCCCCACTTTCACTGCATCAACCTTCACCACCAACATCACCACCACCTCCAACACCACCACCTCCACCACCTGCTCCACCACCACCTCCACCGTTGTCCCCACCACCACCACCTCCTCCACCATCGTCACCACCACCTCCACGACCATCGTCACCACCTCCACCATTGTCCCCACCACCTCCTCCATCACCCATTATCACCACTTTCACCGCATCAACCTTCACCACCAGCATCACCACCACCTCCAACATCACCACCACCGCCTCCACGATTGCCCCCACCATCACCACCTCCACCGTTGTCCCCACCACCTCCTCCACCACCTCCTCCACCACCGTCACCACCTTCACCGCATTCCCCGCCGCCGTAGGTGTGCGGCTTCCGCAACGTGGTGAAGCTGTACGCCAGCGACAACCTCCTGCGCGACCTCCCGGTCGAGCTCGGCCGCCTCAGCCGCCTGCGCATCCTCGCGCTCGACGCCAACCGCCTGGACGAGCTGCCGCGCTGCGTGTGCGGCCTCGCCTCCCTCTCGCGCCTCTACCTGGGCGGCAACCGCCTGCGCTCGCTGCCCGCCGAGCTGCGCGACCTGCGCGCCCTCCGCTCCCTCTGGATCGACAACAACCGCTTCCGCTCGCTGCCGCCCTCCCTCTGCGAGCTGCCCCAGCTGCGCACGCTCCAGGCGGGCGACAACCGCCTGCGCTCGCTGCCCGACGGCGTCGCGCGGCTGCGCGAACTGCGCGGCATCTGGCTCTATGGCAACCGCTTCACCGAGTTCCCCGACGTGCTGCGGCGCGCCGAGAGCCTCGAGGTCATCGACGTCGACCGCAACGGCATCCGCCGCTTCCCGCCGCTGTCGCGCATGCCCCGTCTCAAGCTGCTCTCGTTCGACCACAACCCCTGCCGCCTGCCGCCCGAGGTGGCCGCACGGGTGACGCTGGTCGGGGAGGCCGAGGGGGCGGTGGGCGGGCGGCCGCTCACGGCGAGGGGCGGCGGCGGCGGCACGGTGGCGCTGGCGGCCGCCGTCACGGAAGATTCCGACGTTCGCTGAGCCCGGCGGGGTTGACCCGGTTTGCTGCCGCCGCCGCCACCACCGCTGCTGCTGCTACTGGTTGTTGTTGTTGTTGTTTTTCTACGACGGCGCGCGTTTGGGGGGTGTCACATTCGGCGAGAGTTTCTAGCAAGTGCCCGGTGGTGTTTCCAGCCCGGTGGTTTTAATGCGAGGTGAACTTTCATTGTGACGGCACACGATGAGCAAACACCGCGGTCAACCCCCATACGGTTTATAAGCCCGTATTCTTGTACAGGTAAATTGAGTGTTCAGGGCCATTCGCCTCAAGAACCGTTTCAATACGGGCAAAACAAAATGACGCGTCTATTTGTTTGTGTTTCTCCCCTTGTGATGGGACTTTATAGGATGAACGTTGAGATTTAAAAGGGGCACGGGATGACCAACAAGGTCTGAATTGGTCTGTAATAAGGTAGGGGCACTGATAAGGGGTTGACAGGTATGGATGAGGCAGTCCCGCGATTAGTTTGGCGGCCATTTTTGTCCTTCGTCACAATTCCTGCGAAAATTCCTGCATTAGTTTCGACCTTTCGAGGTCTCATCAGCAGAGTGAGCATTGTTGAATATGTCTTGCTGGAGGTACCGGAGGTTTGCCGGTGAGAGCACTCCGTCTTTAAGATGTGCTCAAGTCTCCCGAGATACCATCGGTAGGCCAGGGTTCCGGGTTGTTATTCGTGCTTTCGAGGTCCCTGACTCTCTGTTCACAATCAACAAGGACCTTAATTTTAACACACGACCAATATTATCCATAATAGAGGTTTTTTTTTTTGGAAGAGAGGGGTTTAACGACACATTTATATTTAAGCGATCGAACGTCCCAAAAAAAGACCTCTATTAAGGACCTTCATGATGGCGGGCAGGCCTGGGGTAAAACCTGGGCCCGAACCTTCGCCTGCTAGCGATATCGTAGTATCCGGCCAAAGCGCGAAGATGAAATGCTCGACCCGCTGTTTGTCGCGCAACAACAAAATAAGAAGCAATATGGCACAGAGGCACTCGTCAGCGTGCAACTTGCGAAGCGTGTGGCGCGGTTTACGAAGAATAGCCAGAGTTTACACTATGAGACCTCTCCTTTACCAGTGGCAAAATATAGTAGTAGGTTTTTACCCTTTAAACTGGTACAAAAACTGACACCTTTATACAAGGCATCATGTTTTCAATAACCACAACACAAGCAGTCAAAATGCAAACAAAAAGAAACAACTCTGATAGTGATAATGAAATGCACTGTCCTTGAAGTTGATTGGTCCACACCCGAGACAGCTTTCCTTAGAGCCTAGTCTCCATTGGTGTTGGACCAGATGACACCAAAAGGCGTGCTTGTGTTGTGGTTATTGCAAACATGATGCCTTGTATAAAGGTGTCAGTTTTGTACCAGTTTAAAGGGTAAAACCTTCTACTATAATAGCCAGAGTTTCCACATCGAACTGGAAGCGCGTTTAAGTCCATCGGACGAATTGGTCTTCCAGTTCGAATAGCTATGCAGCAGGCATTTGTATCAGTGGGAACACTCCGGAGTGGTTTCGACATTTATGGGTCTCAGCAGCAGCAGCAGTCAGACCTTCTGGGGTTTCTTTTTTGTTGTGCCAGATGTTATTGGCAAGAGCGCTCGCCCCCTTCATCGCTAAGGCGGGGTTGGTTAGAGGTTCCGTTCGGTACAACAAGCAATGCAATGCAAGTTCATTCTCCACCTGTTGTTGTGTGGCGGTCAGCTTATATCATGACTTACAGCTGCCCCCCATCCCCTTCTCATTCAACTGTCCTCTGTTGGAGGCCAGCCTCATGCCATGTCGGTTGTAGGGGGGGGGTGGGGGGTGTTTGACCATACTTCATACTTCACCTGGCCACTGCTGGTTTGGAGAGGTGGGTTTCTTGTGGGCTGCCCCGGGATCAACTGTGTATAAAATATATAAATGTATACATTGTGTAAATAGATATTATAGAATGTTATATTTATTTATTTATTCCTGCCATTTAAACCTGCCAAAAAATACCACCAGTCCGTATGCTCAGGCAATCGGGCCGTCCCATATTTCAAAATCGCTTGCGTAGATTCCATTAGAACACGGGTAAACAACGCCGTGATATCACTTAAACACGAGCCACTCGATGTAAGTGTTTAGTTACTTTCACTTAAGAAAAAAAGGTTCACTCAACAAGTATTTTAACTTCGAAAGAAGAAACACGTCACGCATTTATTTTGAACACGACCAGATCTAAATCCCCGCACAACTTCAAATCGTCACCCGTGCTGCTCCACAACAGCGCAGACGCGATAGTTAAAATCGGAGCCGTCCCAAGGGTACACGGCGAATCGGGCCGACCGCCCTGGGCCCCGCGCTTTGGGGGGAGGGGGGGCGGTGGCGAGTGGGGTGCGCTTTTCGACGTCACGGTGTCAAATGGAATGTTTCCGATTTTTGGTGTGTGAGTTTCCCCGGGCTTCGCACTTACCCCCCCCCCCCCATCCTCGCCCTAGGGACGGCTTTGGTTATAATCGACTGTTATCGATCTGCATCATCGATCTGCATCATCGATCGTTATACAGCCGATTCGGTGGTGAGAGGCGGGGTGCAATGGGCGAAACTGCCCCCCGCCCCCCCACCTTGGAATGTTCTCTACTCGCCACTCGCAGTGTCTGCACCAGCGAGCTGAGTAGGGGGGGGGGGGGTACGGGAGGTGATGAGAGTGGGGAGGGATGGGGGAGCGTCACGATTTCACTCGATAATTTATTTCACTTTGACTCGTTTGCGTGCCGTCTCCTTTGTATTTGTCCATCTCGTTTGCACCGTCTTCGAGAGCCTCTCCTGCCTCCTTTGATATCGCAAGAGGCCCGCGTGGCTCTGTCGGGCGAGACGGAGGAATCCGATTCCATCCCTCGTGCCCTGTCCATCGCGACATCGCGAAAGGTGGCGGCGTCGTCATAGGCGGCGGCTTCATCCAGCAGTGGATTAGCCATGGCCCACGACGATGATGATGATGATGAGCACGATGAGGGTGATCGTTTGCCAATGTTACATTTGGGACAATGGGGCCAGGTCGTGAAAAGGAGGCAACAAACTAGATGGGTGGGGGGGAGCGAAATCGATACGAATCCAAACGGAACCATTGGGGGGAGGTCAGGTCTTCATCCAGCAGTCGATTGACCATGACCCCTGATGACGACGACGACGATGATGATGATGGTGGTGAATTATTGTTTAAAACGCAGAATATCCTGTTCAAAGTTTACACAAAATATATAACTTTATATACTACGTATGAATATAGATTGATATATACAAAGCGTCTAGCCGGAATGCACCCACATCTCAGAAGCTAAGCAGGGCTTGAGCCTGGAACAGCGCTTGTGTGTGAGCGAGCAGCGGCATGCATCACAGGTGCTATAGGCTACTGGCCGGGCAGCGTTGTCAGTAGCGGCAGAGGGCAGTGCATGAAACCCAGTTGTGCTGTACTCCTATGCTCCCCCCGCGTGTATCCCTCGCCCCCGCCTTCACCGTCAAGCCCGCACTGACCAGCGTGGGGATGTATGGTCAACTAGCCTCTATCGAGCAGTGGAGTGCCAACAAGGGCTGTCCGTGTACACACATGGAGTAGAGTGTGAGCGAGAGAGACACACCGCCACGTTGACTGTGAAGACAGCTGGACACGTGAGGGCGAGAAGGGGACGACGATGATGATGGTGACGATGATGATGATGACGAGGATGATGGTGACGATGGTGACGATGATGAGGAAGGTGATGACGATGGTGATGATGGTGATGATGATGGTGACGATGATGACGAGGATGATGGTGACGATGATGACGATGGTGATGATGACGATGATGATGGTGATGACGATGATGATGGTGACGATGATGACAGTGATGACGATGGTGATGATGACGACGATAATGAAGGTGATGACGATGATGACGGTGACGATGAAGGTGATGATGATGATGATGGTGACGATGATGATGGTGACGATGATGACGATGGTGGCGATGATGACGATGTTGATGGTGACGATGATGATGATGACGATGGTGACGGTGATGACGACGATGGTGACGATGATGATGGTGACGATGGTGATGACGATGATGATGATGGTGACGATGATGACGATGATCATGATGATGGTGATGGCGGTCGAGACTTAACGACTCGCCCCGAGATGGCAACGCCTTGGGGGAGGAGGGGAGACAGGCCTTCATCCAGCAGTGGATCGATGACCGCTGACGATGACAGCGATACGTGTGCGCACTCAACACTTGATGCTATCCGCATGCCGTGTGCTTGGTGAGACACATCGTGCCATTTGGATAAACACGAATTACATTTTATTTTTTGGTAAAAAAAAGTCATTACGATTGTGTCCTGCAGTGTTGCAAACCGTGCGTGCGCGACTCGATATTTGTACCAAGGTAGCTTTGGATAATAATTATATAAAAATACTATAGAGCATATCTGCAATTATAAATATAAGATGATATGGCAAAGATGAATAATCCTGATATTTATTTTCATACGTTGCGTCATCCGCGATCTTCATTTGGAATCTCGATCGATTCTATTCCGAAGACGACGACGATGTGGATGATGATATCGATGATGATGATGATTATGATGATGATATATTATTTTTAGTACATGTTAATTTCTACTCGTGGCTCTCGAATTTGGATGGATCTGGTACGCCCAAGATTGTAAATATTAACGGGTTGTTTTTTTTTTAATCACTTTGTTCATTTAACGTAACCGGCGATGTCCCTGGCCTAAAAAGGAGAGAGAAAGAGCGAGATAATTACGACTCAGTTGATTCGATCGTCGATTATTTCAGCAGAAATATACGACCGCTAATTAAAAAGGGAAAAAAGAAAATCCCCATCACCCGCTCCATTTACAAATTCACAGCTATACGTAATTGCTCACTCCTTCGCCAAGCCGCATTGACCAGCGTGGTGAAGTATGGTCAACCCCACCCAGCAATGCGAATGACAACGCCACAATTGGTCGATCGGCAAGACGCACGGTGGGGTAAAGTGTGGGTACTGCTTACCTCTTCGTCCCATTATGGAAGAGTAGGCCAAAGCGCCCTCTGAAAGGTTCACCGGTGCTCCCTCCTCGTGGTTGAAGGCTCATCGGCAAGCGGTGGAATTGCCAAGAAATTGCAGGGATGCGCCTTTACCCATTCGTCTCGTGGTGGAATCCTGACGGCGTCTTCCCTGCCAGCATGAGCATGGGGGGGCTGCGCTCATTTGTTGGCAGGCAAAGCCATCATCGGTGCCACTTTCATTATCCTCATGATATGGACCACGTCCATCCAACCAATCCTGACAACTCGCGTTCGTACAAATCCCCTGGCTTTGTCTGGAGGCCTGAGCATGCATTACTACTTTCTCTCACTGTGGTTACAGACATCACGGGATTCACAATAAACTCGGTTGCTGTTGGCGACGGACAGTAATGGACACATCTGATTTCGTAACAAGTGAAAGGGAATTTTGGGTGGTTCAGGGAGTGAGCGAGGAGTGAGTTGGGTGGTTGAGTGAGGAGTGAATGGGTGAGTCAGTGGGTGGTGATTCAGTGGGTGAGTGAGTGGGTGGGTGAGTGAGTGGGTGGGTAAGTGAGTGAGTGGGTGAGTGAGTGGGTGAGTGAGTGGGTGAGTGGATAGGTGAGTTGGTGGGTGAGTCGGTGGGTGGGTGAGTGGGTGAGTGAGTGAGTGGGTGAGTGAGAGGGTGGGTGAGTGGGTGGGTAAGTGAGGAGTGAGTCGGTAGGTGAGTTGGTGGGTGAGTCGGTGGGTGGGTGAGTGAGTGGGTGAATGAGTGGGTGAGTGAGTGGGTGGGTAAGTGAGGAGTGAGTGGGTGAGTGAGTGAGTAGGTGAATCGGTGAGTGAGTCGGTGGGTGGGTGAGTGAGTGAGTGGGTGAGTGGGAGGGTAAGTGAGGTGTGAGTGGGTAGGTGAGTTGGTGGGTGGGTGAGTGGGTGGGTAAGTGAGGAATGGGTGAGTGAGTGGGTGGGTGAATCGGTGAGTGAGTGGGTAGGTGAGTTGGTGGGTGAGTCGGTGGGTGGGTGAGTGAGTGGGTGAGTGAGTGGGTGGGTGAGTCGGTGAGTGAGTCGGCGGGTGAGTGAGTGGGTGAGTGAGTGAGTGGGTAGGTGATTCTGTGGGTGAGTGGGTGGGTAAGTGAGGAGTGAGTGGGTAGGTGAGTCGGTGGGTGAGTCGGTGAGTTTAATTCGCAGGCCCCCACGCCCTAAACAGCTGCGGCCTCCAACTCGCATCATCCACTCCGCCTCTCTGCTGGCCTCTCGGTGCATGCACTACGAAGAAGGGACATTTCCCGAAACGTCGCCTGCTTCATACATTATTTTGTTTTACTTCGAAGGCTACGCGCTGCGGTGTTGTTATCGACGAATGGGAGTTGTTGCCCTTCGTTGTTGCGCTTCGTTGTTGCCCTTCGTTGTTGCGCTCTACGTCGCCCGCGTTGAACAACAGCAGAGGGCGACACTCCCCCACCGATGGGAGAGGGTGTGAGCGGCGCGGGTGTCGATGGGTTTCGCGAATCGCTCCGAGACGGGCGAGCAAAGTTGGCGAGACCGCGTGGAGGGCCTCCACCGCATTAGAAGGTGCAGGCGAAACGGACGGGCTCCCGGTATGCTCTGATTGGGGGGGGGGGTGATGACCTGCGGCATCGATTGCCACCGATGAGGAACACGTGGACGAGATCGCGCGCTCACGGCAGGGCCGCTCGCGAACAGCACTTGCCACGGCTGCTGTTACTGCTGCTGCTGCTCTACCACTGCTGGCTGTGTTCAAGGTGCACGTTGATGTTGGATGTGTTCAACGAGGGCAGGAATTCAATAGCGGCAGGATTTCGCCAGTAAGCACCAATCGTTGTTCTGGCGTGATTCCACGTGCAGTGTCATTTTGGAATTTGACCCCCAATAAAAAATTTGACCCCGAGTGTTGACCCCCCCCCACTCGCACACGGCGTGGGGATTTCTCTTCGGGGTGCTTCAGTGTCCTCCTCGTCCTCCCACGTGGTGCAAACGAACGCAGAGACGTCGCGGCAGAGAGAGAGGCACGCGAAGCGGAGACGTCGCGTTGACGGTGAAGACAAGTAAGCGGGGCTTGGGCAAGACGCCTCGTGGTTTCGAACGGGAAGACGACAACACGGAGGCCGAGAACGATGGCGCAGTGGCACCCGAGGGATGGCGGCAGCGTCGGGGAGGAGGCTTTCATCTAGCAGTGGATTTATCCTGGCTGCTAGCGATGGTGTTCCGTTATCCTAGACTCCCTCCCCTCTCCCCCCACTCGCACCCCTGGGTTTTCTCCGGTTACTCCGATTTCCTGCCACACGTAGCGCGGTCATGAATACCACTTTGCAAACGTCCTCGTTACAGGCGGCGCTGAGTGTCCGCTGTCATCATCATCATCGCCAACATCGTGGTCATCGCCACCGCGATCACCATCGTCATCATCAGCAGCAGCAGCGTCATCGTCGTCAACACCACCACCACCACCATCATCATCATCAGTTTGGCAATTATCGTCACATCACTATCATCACCACCACGATCACCAAAGTCATCAC